TGGGGCCCAGAGTCAGAACTAAACCAGGTTCTGGTCTCCTGCTGGGGCCCAGAGTCAGAACTAAACCAGGTTCTGGTCTCCTGATGGGGCCCAGAGTCAGAACTAAACCATGTGAAGCTTCATTTCAGCTCCAGGCTCCTAAAATCAGACAGAACCTAACTCTGGATGTTTAAATCCAGATGAAAACGCTTCTGTTTAACTGTGCATGTGGAAAATGGATGTATTTGATTTGCTCCCTTCACTTATTATTTTTCTTTTCTTGTTTTTCTGCTTTTAAATTCTCTGTGAAACACTTTGAATTTTCTTGTACACGAAATGTGCTGCAAAAATAAACTTGGCTATGACTTTGAATCATATCATATCATTTAAATGTAATGAATTCCCATCAAAATGCAAAATATCTTGAAATACAAGAACAGATTTTGGTTGCTGTAACAGAGAAACTCTGAAATGTGTCAGAGAGTGTGCATTTAAACATACTAAACGTATTCTTCAACAGAATGCGTTATGTTATATGAAGTAATTTTTCAGGATTTAGACGCTTTTATTCAAATGACTAAAAATGCAGATACAATATGATAGTTAGCATCTCCCTGACTGTAAGGCAGAGAGAAGAAAATCACTGGTCCGACTCTGTTAGAGGAAAGGTATTTCCCTGGATATGTCTTATTTCCTCCTCTGGATAGAGATCCGAATGGATACCGACTGGTGGCTTTGACATGTCATGTAATGAAAACTTTGGAGAGAATCTTTGTTTGTAAGATGAGATTTCAGACTGCTGACCCCTCCAGTTTGCCAAACAGAAATACTGAGCTATCTGACAAACTGAACAGAAATACATATATATCAGAGTGGCTATTTTTGTAATTCAGCTGGATTTATTCCCTCTTTATCTATTTTTGACAGACACACAGGCAGTATATACTTGTCTGTTTATTTATGCATCCACAGGGTTTCCATAACACTTTATTCTGCTAGAATCGTGAACGAAAATAGCAAAACTGTAGGACAGACTCTGGACTAAAGCTCAACTTTGACATTTTCAAATCCAAAATGGCTGTACTTACATCCTCAGGACTGAGTTCTTCCAAGCAGAACTTGTCTGGTTCACATTACCAAGTAAACAAATCAAATGAGGTTAAATGAAAACCGAGCAAAGATGGTGGGGAGTTTCTAGTTTAATTAATTTGTTTCCTTTTTTTTCCCTTCTTTTTTTTTTCTCCTTTTGTTTTCCTTTTTTTCTTCTTTTTTTTCTCATTTTTTCCTTCCCCCCCACCCAAAAAAGAAAAAAAGGGGGAAAAAAAGGGAAAAAAAGGAAATGAAAAAAAATGGATTTTTTTTTTTTAAATTTGTTTTCAGATAGTAGTTTCCTGTACACTCAACTATCTGACCAAATAAACAGAAATAGATGTATATAAGCAGCTTTATATGCGTTTCAGTTGGATTTATACACACTTTATTGCTTTTACTGGAGAGATGGAACTTTGGATCTCATGAGGACCAACTTGACCCATATGAGTTGTGGCCTAAGCTAAGTAATTAGATCCCATTTTCTGTGGTTTTCTTTGGAGCTTTGACTCTGGACGGTTTTGGTCAGAGGAATGTTTTTACTATGTTATGACGGAAGTCCCTGATGCTTCAAACAATGGGATCACAAAAACCAACACTCCCACCTGGTGTTCTCTTTGGGACTGAGGACAGTTTCAGTTTTATCTATGAGAAAAATTAGCTTTTTTTTCCTCCTTCGGCTCAGAAAAAAAATCACAATGATCTTACAAAGCAAAAAGAACTTTGATGTCTTTTATTTATCCCATTATTGCATCTTATATTGTGGTCAGTCCATACGGGTCAATGGCAAATACAACATCTAAAAATACCGTTTCAACTTATTTTAAGCATCAGCCTCAAACATCTTCTTCCTTCCGTCCATGCCAGATTTGTCCTCAATGTTTTTGCGCCAGTCGCCGACATCCCGAAGTTCCTTTTCCTGAAACAGCGAAATAAAGAGGTCCTGGTATCGTAACTGGGATGGAGGGTCAGGCTGTAAAACTGAGGTAAAACCGGAAAAATCTCCATACACAGGTTTTTATGCATTCTCTCCTGGTCATTACACCTTCGATTCAGTGAATAAAACCAAATTAAAGAATTAAATTTTCACACTAAGTGTTCTCTCGTCCAGTTTTATTTATTCACTCTCTGCTCTTTGTATGCTCATGTAAGCGCTCAAAAAGATCTCCCATTGCAAGGGTAAGGAAAATAGTTTTATATAAGTAGCAACTGAAAAAACTGAGAACTTGGGCCCACATTTAAAGACAATTTAGAAGACAATTTTGGATCTGATCAAAATCATACTTTTGAAGTTCACATTAAATGAGTTAACCATCATGTAGTCGAAAAAAAAAAAAAAAAAAAAAAAAAAAAAAAATCTCCATATTTCTCTCACCTCTTCTTTGACTTCCTTCTTGACCTGCTTCAGGTTGGCCCTCAGCTCCAGGTTGACGGTGTGTTTGGAGCCCAGCAGAGCTTTCAGCATGGCGTCCGCGGACATGCGCACCTTCTTCAGCACCGGCTTCTTGAACTTGCCCATCACGTCCTGAACTTTGATCTTCAAGTCGTCTATCTGGAGAAGGGGAAAATATTTTTAAAAAAAAGGAATCCTGTTTGCTGTCAGGCCTGAAAAGTGTCATTTTACACACACCAAAGAGTAACTTCACTCTTATGTAAAGTGAAAGCATAAACTAGGTATTTATTTCAACTTCTGAGAATCTAAATGGGACAAACAACCCTTGGAAGATCTTTTTTTTTTATTTACTTGATGGCTTACTTGTTTTGCTTAAATAATCTTTTGTGCCTGGACACGTTTGACAGCTCTTAACTGCTTAGAAAAGTCCATTATTGTATGACTTTAACTTGTTCCAGCTCCAGTACCCTAAACAGGCTCAAAGCCCATGCCTTGGCTGGTTAAAAATGTTGTTTTTTTTTACCTGTTCCTGCTCAATCACTAACACAAAACTAATGTCATGTTTGGGTTTCGTGGTTGATACGAAATAAATGAGTCAATTCAGTCAACTTTTCAATTCAATTGAAAATGTGCAATGATATTTTAAAGAGCACCAAATCACAACAAATGCCATCTCTAGTTTTAAATCAGTCCAATTAATACAGAATCAGTTTTTAAAAAAAGCCAAAAGTTTGGTTTTCTTAGCTAAAAATCAACTTTTTTTTTAAAATCATAGTAGCATGACTCTTGCTTATGCAGAGCTGTGTGGGCTCAAATCAGAAATACTTTAATAATATCAGAGGGAAATTATTTAATGTAATGTAATCTAAAGCGGGTTTTCTTTGCTTTTTACTATCAACAATCTTTAACTTTTAACTTTTCATATGAACTTATGTTAGTCAGTTAAGATACTGACAAATTGCTAATTTAAGTTCTTAATACATCTTGAAAACTGGAAAGAAGTTTTGTATTTACAAATGAGGTGAGGGGACCCACACTACTCCCATTGGTGGATCTGGCCCTTTTTTTTTTTAATGGTTCCTCCCTGTCTTGTACAAAGATTGTGCCAGTGATTGGCTGCACCCAGTTTTGTAAATAAGATTAAATAGTAAATAAGATAATAAGATAGTTGCAAAAGCAAATCCATCTAATTAATCTAGAACAGTAGGAAGAGGTTTCCCTCAAGCATTAAAGCTCTTCCGTTTGTTCTCCCTGGACCTGTGTGTTAGTTTTCGGGGGTTTGGGTGATCCACCTCTTTGTTGGCTTTGTTGACTTTCATCTCCAGGTCGTATCGCTCCTCGTCGGCTGCGTCCACCTTATGGTGGATCTCCCTGCACAGCTCCTGAACACAGAACCAAAACAGAGCTCATTTTTAACGGCACATCTGGGACTGGCTCTCATACTGAGCTTTAACGGGTCCGGAGCTTTTTTTTGACGTTTTTCCTTTGGATTTCGTGCCTTGAACTTGAAAAAACTCATACACAAAAACACACAAAAGAGCTTTTTGTTGTTGAGAAATCAGAGTATGTGATTGTGTAAACCTACTTGGCAATAAACCTAATTCTGATTCTGATTCTAAAAAGCCGGAGGGATCAGGAGACCTCATTAATAAAAACATTTGGCTAACATTAAGGTGGAGGATGCATGTTTTAGCTCTTGAGAGGATTTTTAGCTCGTGTATTCCACCTGAATCAGAGCACATGGAAGTGAATGGACAAGTTATTCTAAGCTCTAAGCTAAGTTATTCGCCTCAAGCTGCCCAATTTACATTGTTATCTCAGGGTTAGATGTCCATTGTCTGCCCAATTTGTCTAATCCCTTTGAGAAATGCCACAAAAAAAAAGAAGAAAAAGAGTTAACAGTGTCTAAATGTCTTATAAGTACATGGACGTGCATCTGATCCAATATGGTGTTTTGTTTTCCAGTTTCCATTAAATGCAGCATTACTAAAACTCACCTAAAACCTGAACTGGTTAACTGAGGAAACAGCTAAACAGAAGAAGCTCAAACATTTCCTGGTGGCTGTTTCCTGGACTCCACACAGGTCAGCATGAACATGACATGTTATTGTTGAGGTGTGTTTGTGGGGGGGTGACACTGGTTTTTACCAACAGCTTTATGACTTCACACAGATAAGGAAGATTTTTCTAAATAATAAAAAACTAGGAGATAGTTGTGCCTCTGTTGAAAAATGCTGTGTCATACTTTCGTTGAGTCAGCAGGTATAAAAAAAGAACAGGGTTATCGTAGTATGGCCATTCATGTTTTCGGCCATGAGAAAAATCATGAGAAATGAAGAAATGGGGAGATATTTCCTGGAAATGTATGGAAAAAGTACCCGACACATTAAAAACATATCTGCAGATGGATTCACTGCTGCTTTAAGCTAAAAAATTAAACCAATCTCCTAATAAAATGTAGGATGACTGGACTTGAAACGGTATAAATTGGATAAAAATTCGAAGTCACAGGCTGTTGGTGTTTATACAATCTAGCCTTATTTTCCCCACACGTCACAGTAAATGTGATATCCGTCACATATACAGTTGTGGTTACAGCTTGTGTACGTACTATGTTGACTTTTTAATAAAGTTATCCCTCTCTCCATCGGGAGGAGACGTTTGTCTGGTTTCAAACTAGGGTTGTCACGATACTAAAATTTTCAACTCGATACCGATACTCAGGAAAATACTCGATACTCGATACCATTTTCGATACCACAAGTATAAAAACAAAGACCCCAAAATTTAACTGAATTGTGTCTTTCATTTCAAACTGACCTGTTATTGGTGTTATCTTGACTGGTGGCCCACATTAATGACCCTAACCCTAACCCTAACCCTAACCCTCCAGCTTTCATAATAGTGAGAAATAAATATTTTGGGGTTAAACTTGTTTGGACTTATTGTACAAACCTATTTAACATCCACTATTTTGACATAATATTATGGATCGAGTTTAATTCAGTGTTTGCAAGATTCATTTAACTATTTTTAAATGAATGTCTATATTGCCATGAAGCAATTAGGATTTTTTTTGCCTGGGATCTTCCTATTGGTGACCTAATCAAAATGGCCGACTTGGATGTGGGCGGAGTTGGATATCCATCTGCGTGGGGGTGGTGGTATCGATACTTTTGAAAATGAGTATCGTATCCGGATACAACATTTTAGTATCGATACTTTTTCGAATATCAATACTTTTGACAACCCTATTTCAAACTGCCACAAAACGCCCGTAAATGTCCACTCCAGGACCTTAGAGGGACACACCTGGAGCTCCTGCATGGTTCTGGGCATGGACAGAGGAGGGCAGCTCTCATCCATGTACCTCTCCCTCTCTTCCTCCCGCTCCCTTTCTTCCTCCTCCAGTAAGCCTTTAGCGATAGACAGCATCAAACTCTGCCAAAAATAAAATCAAAAATAAATAATCAGACACCAAACCTCAGGGCGTAGTGACCACTTTCTGAATGAATGAATTAATGAATGAATGAATCTTTATTCTCATTGTCACAAGAAACAACGAAATGTAAAAGAAAGGGCCATCAATCAGTGCCTATGCCCACAATTTACACACAATATAAGAAATAAATAACTGATAATAAAAAAAAAAAATTAAATATAAAAAAAAACATTCCTGAGCAAACATTCCCAAACTTTGGATATCAAATGTGAGCTTACCTTTAGATGATGCCTGCGACTCGAAGACATTTTTTTTCTTAAGGATGGAAGACAACATGAGTTTGTTGTGATACATTTTTAAGTTAAAGTGTAGACTTATAATAACATGTATCAGTCTTGTTGATTTACAATGTGTTATTAGCCCTTTAAAGCCTGATGCAAGAAAAATATGAATATTGGATTTTTTTTATTCTGAAGTCTTTCTTTGGCCCCTCAACAACATATGAAGAAAAAAAAACAGAAATTATTTTGATCAAATTAGCGTGCAATAAGTCAAAAATATATTTTAGTGTCGTCTTCTACTGGCTGTTATCAGGTATATCTGAATGTGTTCAACAGGGGTTTGAGCAAAGCTTTTACCACTGAATGATGCAAAAAGTCTCAAATCCAAAAGACTTCAGAAACCGTATGAATCAAATATGAGACATTTGGCATTATAGGGTTAATATAGGTTGACATCAAGAGAAAAAAAAAGATAAAAGAATAATTACTCACTCGGACATGTTTGTGTTTGTTTTGCTTCAACACCCTGGGAGAAACACCTGATTGAGCATTTCAAGAGGAGAAAAAAGTGGATTATTCAAATCACTTGTTATCCATAATTTGGGTGAAATGATCTTTCAGTCATTAAAAAGCAGAAGAAGCAACACGATCAGTGAAGGTTTTTTACTAAGAAACACGATCAGTCAAAGTTTTTTTACTAAGAAACACGATCAGTCAAAGTTTTTTACTAAGAAACACGATCAGTCAAAGTTTTTTACTAAGAAACACGATCAGTGAAAGTTTTTTTTACTAAGAAACACAATCAGTCAAAGTTTTTTACTAAGAAACACGATCAGTCAAAGTTTTTTTTACTAAGAAACACGATCAGTCAAAGTTTTTTACTAAGAAACACGATCAGTGAAGGTTTTTTACTAAGAAACACGATCAGTCAAAGTTTTTTACTAAGAAACACGATCAGTCAAAGTTTTTTACTAAGAAACACGATCAGTCAAAGTTTTTTTTACTAAGAAACACGATCAGTCAAAGTTTTTTTTACTAAGAAACACGATCAGTCAAAGTTTTTTTTACTAAGAAACACGATCAGTCAAAGTTTTTTACTAAGAAACACGATCAGTCAAAGTTTTTTTTTTACTAAGAAACACGATCAGTCAAAGTTTTTTTTACTGGTCACAAAAAGTCCAAGGGGGCATCTGTCCCCCCTTATGGAAATAAAATCTCCACCGAGAAGAAACCCGATGCTGAGCGAGTATCGGGAACCGGCCTCAGGGAAAAGCCTGAAAAGCCTCAGGTCCATATTAGGCTGAGGGTCCAGGTTAGGTTGGCCCCCCTGGGCCTGTGGAAGATCCTCTGATGACACCAACGTCTCAGACGCAGATCGCTGAGATATTATCGGTCAGCTCTGGAAATAGACGCCGAGGTGAATAATCCAGCGCCCGGCAACCAAACGGAAAGCGGAGAGCTAAATGGACTTGACCAAATGTTGACGCGTTCCACGGATGGTGAGGATACGGACGCAGAAAATGACTTGTGGTTAGAAAAAGAGCAACAACCGACACATCCAAAGACATAACCGGATCATTTGGTCCAGATATGAAACCTTTGTTTGTGTTTGATGGACAGATAGAGCTTCTGTTGATGCTTTTTTAACAAATATACTATGGCATCAACACGGAGAAGATCTTTTTAAATGATGTTAACAATGGATCCGGACACCAAAGCATTTTCCGCCTGGCTTTAAATGTAGACTGGTGACACTCTGAAAACATTTGGCCCCGTTGGCTATGGGGGGGGGGGGGGGGGGGGCCTGGTCTGTTCAGTGGACGCCCTCAGATTGGCATCTGGACGGCTTCGGGGAAGACTTCAGACTCTTTGCTGAGCCCCGGTTTGCAGAAATGTGCCGAATCCATTAGAGTCCCCGGGATCCAACTTTTCTCCAAAGAACATCGCATAAAGTCTGTCTCACTTTACCCATCAGTGGTCACACTGGAACTGTATTTCTACACAGCAAAAGTCTCTTAAGATACAGTAAAATGACAGGAAATGTTCATTTTTCATGGGTGGGTGGGGACTATAAAGGGAATTTGAAGCCAAAACCTCATCTGAAAACACCATAGCTAGGTCATTTAATAACAATAATACATCCAGAGGAACATGACGGCCATTAAAGGATGCTGTAATGTACTGTACATAAAACAGCAGATTACACACAGCTAACACTGGGACGGCCATTCTCCAATAAAAGTCCAAACAACAGGTCAATTCTCTTCAGCTCAAGACGAGGGCTGCAGGGAACCAACGCAGAAACACTAAAACACAACAGACGAAGCTCACAGTGAACAAACAACCCCCCCCACACCTAGAAAACCCACATCCAAAAACTGGAACTGTATTTCTACACATTAAGTCTCTTAAGATACAGTGGTTCTACTGTAAAATGACCGGAAATATTAATTTTTTAAGGGTGGAGGGAACTATATAGTGATGTATTAAGAACTTACATTATAGTAATTCACTATATAGTGAATTTGAAGCAAAAACCTCATCTGAAAACACCATAGCTAGGTCATTTAATAATAATAACGCGTGTCACTGTGCATCCAGAGGAACATGACGGCCATTAAAGGATCCTGTACATTAAACAGCAGATTACACTCAGGGAAAGCCTCCACCAGGCAGTGGATAAACTATATTTCCTGTTTGGGTTAATTAATTATCTTAATACAAAGATATAAGTGGCACAGGTAAAAGTTTCCTCACCTTTCGGCTGAAGATGAGCTCAGATCTGGACTGCGGGTTCGTTTCTGGAATCAGAACTTTGTATATGTTGCATTCCCGAAAGCCAAAGGAGACCCCATCTTCCTTTATATGGAGGTCCGATTTTAAACCGGCCAACAAGAGCACCGGGAATTTTAGCTGTGACCTCCCCTCCACCCTCAGAATCTCCTCCCCATTTTGGACAATATTAATAACCACCTCTGACTTGATTGTTTTGCGGATGGCGAAGATAAACTCTCTGCCTTCTGCACCTTGTTTTGGAATTAGACGAAGCACTTTGTCTCACTTTGATGGTATTCCACAGACTTCCAGCTTTGTGTTAGGATTCAGAAAAGATAACGGAGTGTGTATAACTCACGCGTGCAGTTCACGGGTGGCGCGGGGAAAAGGTCTGGGGCAGCTTTTCAGCGAGGGGAACCAGATGTGATGAAAGCCGAGGACGCGGCAGGTGGCTGACCAGATTTCCAAAGGGATCATTCCACACCAACCTAATGGCTGCTATCAACAAACAGTTAACAAATGGCCCCTGTAAGACTGAGAAACACTTTCTGGGTGGAGACTTCTGGGCATTTTAAGAAAAAGAAAAAAAGATTTGGATTTTAGTTAAGTCTCTGTATGCTATAGTTAACCTTTTAAAGCCTGATGCAAGAAAAATAGGAAGAATATTGGATTTTTTTTAGTCTGAAGTCTTTCTTTGGCCCGTCAACAACATATGAAGAAAGAAAAACTGAAATTATTTTGATAAAATTGGCGTGCAATAAGTCAAAAATGTATTTTCGTGTAGTCTTTTACTGGCTGTTATCAGGTATATCTGAATGTGTACAACAGGGGTTTGAGTAAAGCTTTTACTATTGAATGATGCAAAAAGTCTCAGATCCAAGACTTCAGAAACCGTATGAATTAAATATGATACATTTGGCCTTATAGGGTTAATAAAACTAAACCAAGAGAGAACGGTAACAGATTACTAATCTACTTTTAATTTCCATCCACACTATTTATTTTACTTTCACCAGACACCCAGACTTTTTGTGATTGGACAATTCATTGGGCACGTGGACACGATGACCATCAAGTAACATCAGCTTCTTTAATATTCAACTGTACAAATTAAATCAGACTTAAGAAACATGGCGTGAGAAATACATCGCTTCACATTTCTGAACATCATAATCAGGGTACATTCTGGGCCACTGAGGAATCACCTGAGCAAACAAGTTCAAGATCTAGTCGGTTTGATATGACGACATGAGGAGTTCACGACGAGCAAAGAGCCAAAAACCTGTTGGTACTTGGACCACAGAGGCCGGTCAGAGAGACCCAGCTCCTGCAAACCAACCAACGGCAAAAAGATCACGGCACAGACCACTTCACACAAATGTCACGTGCATACTTTTAAAGTGAACCGTCCAAAAATATTCCATTTTTCTACAACATTTCCAAGAGGTTAAAGTCATACAAAGTGTGCAAATGTCACCATGTGGTCACAACACAACCCCCCCGAATGAAGGCACCGTACTTCCGCTCCCCTTTGCCATGGCGGGCAGCCCGGGCTCAGCTGGGCTCTCTGATGATTCCCAGGACTGCAGAAACCATCATGATAAACAGCAGGGTCAGAAACTAAATGCCTCCGTCCACGGCGTGTCAACAGCCTGGCTAGCAGCCTGGCTAGCAAGCAACCTAACAAGCTGGCTAACAGACTGGCTAGCAACCTGGCTAACAAGCTGGCTAACAGCCTGGCTAGCAGCCTGGCTAGGAAGCAACCTAACAAGCTGGCTAACAGACTGGCTAACAAGCTGGCTAACAGCCTGGCTAGCAGGCTGGCTAGCAACCTGGCTAGCATGCTGGCTAACAAGCTGGCTAACAGCCTGGCTAGCAGCATGACTAACAACCTGGCTAGCAGGCTGGCTAACAAAATGGCTAACAGCCTGGCTAGCAGCCTGGTTAGCAGCTTGGCTAACAGCCTGGCTAGCAGCATGGCTAACAAGCTGGCTAACAGCCTGGCTAGCAGCTTGGCTAACAACCTGGCTAGCAGCTTGGCTAGCAGCCTGGCTAGCAGGCTGGCTAACAGCCTGGCTAGCGCCGAGGCTAACCGGAGCCGGGCCCCCCTCCCTCTGGCTGCTGGGATCAGAGTCTGATCCTGGACAGGTCCCTGTTTGGGGTCCAGACCAACCGTCTCCGTCTCTCCCATCACAGGCCACTGGCCACCAAAAACCAACAGACTTGAATGACCGTGGCTCCACAGAGCCACATCGATTCATTTCCAACAACAGGAAGGGGGGTGAAACATCCTCTTCTGGACGGTGTGATAACAAACCCCATCAATGTGGGAGCTTTAGCCCCAAAGCGAACCTGATTGGACACCTCTGGAACTCTGTGCTAGCCTTCGTTTCATCCTGCCCTCCTTTGGGATTCTCTAACATATTTTTAGCCTGCAAATGAAAGAAAACGGTGGGATAATCGTGTGCTTTTATGGCCAACCATCACCGACTTCCTTCCATTAGTTCGTACAAATCTCAAACTGTGAGGAAAAGTCTGTGGCACAAAGAACCCCCCCCCCAAAAAAAACAACAAAAAAACAACACACATTTTGTACAAACCCCTTAGCACAGCCAAGACTAATACTGGAGAGAACCAATGGGCCGGCAGCATCCCTCAGACCAAAAACTCCCATCCGAATTAGTGATGTGATGAAGTCCGTGGAGACAGGGCTGCCCCCCATTTAGTGCAACATCTGGATATTTAAAATAAAAAACAATAATAATAATAATAAAAAAAGCCTGCAGCATCAGGACATTTTCCGGAAGAAACGCACTCACTGGCCCTCCCCGTTTGGAAAGAAAGCTCTTCACATTTAAACATCAGCACAGGACCAATAAAAGTGGACGGACCGATAAAAGCGGGTGCTGGTGGACAGCAAACCTCTCATTATGAGAGAGGAACGCCTTAACAAGGTTCTGGGGTCCAGCTCCTGTTCAAACTGCTGCTTCACACCGAGGAGCCGACGTGTCTAGGGATGGGGATCGTTAATATTTATTGATATCGATACCTTTATCGATACTCCTTATGGATCCGAGTCTTTATCGATACCACTATCGATACTTTTCTGTTATCTGGTGGAAAGACGATGCGACAATATTCATCAAATAAATAATTGTATTTTAAATTAAATGTAATTTTTTAATAAATGTTGGCATCGGTACTTTAATTATATATTCTAAAATAATTAGAGCAATATGCAACTGTATTACTCATGTTTCTCGCCAAAAACTCAATTTCCCTTTTCTTTACGCTACACTTGAACGCATCATGATAACCTAATTGTCGTTTTACTGAGCCAATCTGAACAAATCATCGCGTAGCACGTCTGAAACTTTTATTTACTTTTCAAGCTAACTAGCTTGTATGCTGCCGATTACAAAACGAATTTCACAATTACTATTGTAATAATAAAAAAAACGACCAGACTCGATAGTGGTATCAATAATAAGCCAAAACGGTATTGATTTTCGGGTTTTGAAAAAAAGTGGAACCGGGTCCTTGATAGAACCGGGTTTCGATCCCCATCCCTAGACGTGTTGCATGTTTCTGTGAGTGAAGAAGGTAAAAAACGATGGGATCCTCCTGGGTCCGTCCCACAGAGTCCTTGAGGTTTGTCCACCTCTTGCCCGCTTTTGGCTTTGCACATTTTCAGGGTTTTCGAATGTAAACTGCCCGAACGTGGTGCTCCACGGGACGCGTTTGTCTCCCTAAGCTAACGACCACTTCCCACGCTGCACACGTGTGACATCAATAATCTCCTGAGATCGCCGGTTGAGGAATTCCCCTGATATAGAAAGACAAACACAAAGCCATGGCATAGAACTGAAGCAGGACTAGATCCACTAGACACCCAACACTGGAGCACGGTTACCAAGAAAGTCACACACACACACACACACACGGCGGTCTAGTCTATTGCGTCTCCTACAGCGGGGGAAATCGGTATTTGACCCCTTGCTGATTTTGCAGGTTTGCCCACTTACAAAGAATGCAACGATCTATAACTTTAATCATATGTACATTCTAATAGTGAAAGACAGAATCCCAAAGAAAATTCCAGAAAATCACATCATATGAATTTATAAAAAAATTGATAACCATCTGATGAGGGAAAATTAAGCATTCTTTGTAAGTGGGCAAACCTGCAAAATCAGCAAAGGGGTCAAATACTTATTTCTCCCACTGTAGCTAGTGAGGATGAGGAGGGAAATTACAGCCAGGTCACATTTACAGGTCTGGAAAAAAAAAAAAAAAAAAAAAAAGAAGAAACAACCGATTGAGTTTTTCTCCATAACATCCAGTAGTCCACTCTAGGGGGGGAGGTTCCACTTCCCCCTCGGGTTGTCTTATGGAAACATCCAACACCACTGGGAGTTAGAGTCAGTTACGAGTCAGGTCCAGGCCACCCGGCGCGAGATGGCCTGCTTGAAGCACTCGGGCTCCACGTTTCCTCCGGGCCTCAGCGCCCCCTCCAGACTCACCAGCACGTTCTGGTGGCGCTCGCGGATGTTGACGGGGTATCGCGCCCGCAGCAGCTCGTAGGCGGCGATCAGCCTCATGTTCCGCCTCACCATCAGGTACTGGATCACGCAGGTGGGCGCCAGCGAGAAGCCGTCCCGGCAGTGCACCAGCACGCGCTTCCGCTTCTCCGCCGAGGCGTCGATGCACTCGTTGATGTCCTCGAAGCAGCGCTGCTTCAGGGCCGAGCCGTCGCCCGCGGCGACCGGCACGTCGCCGATGTCCACCTTGAGCGGGGATGGAGGGGGATCGTTAATATTAGGGATGGGACGGTTTCTGAAACCAACCGTAGGGTTGGACTGTCTCGGTTCGGTTCGCGTGTGTTGCGTTCGGTTCATGCGCTGCTCCTTTTTCTCAGAGGGAAGCGTTTACACTCCAGAGCAGAAGGGGGCGCTACTGCGCCCAAAGCCAACCACCAGTAGGAAACAAGAAGAAGAAGAAGAAGCGTAGCCGATAAAAATCAGACGCGCCAACAGCAGTTTCTAGGTCTGCTGTATGGACCACTTTGCATTTAGAGGGAAGCACATGTTGGAACTAGCAATGTTTCCTCTCTTTCAATGCCAGAATCTCACCTACTTTTAACCTCAGACCGTCACAATAATGTATCAAATGTCAGACTGCTTTTTTCTTTCAGTTTTAACCTGACTATACAAGACATAATAGATTTTCCTAACAATCAACATATAGCGAACCGAACCGAAAACCGTGACCAGGAAACCCCTCTAGGGGGCAGTGCCACTTTTGATGGGAGATGAGCATAGACTGTAGGCAAATAAGAAAAAGGTAACGGTTCGCTATGAGAGAACATGTCGCCGGTGAGACGCAAGTCGAGGAAGAACGGAACAAGGTAGAAACAATTTTTTTTTCCTGATGAAAGAAGAGAGTCTACTCTTTCTTTTGGTGTGTTCGGTGTTTCCATAGTCATAGCACAAACTATTCTGTGGCTCTTGAAAAATCAGTCAAAATGCTCAAAAAACTCTGGCAGTATGGGACTCTCTGTTCTGAAAATGGCTGCCAGTCAATGAGTTAAACACGAAGCCTTGTTGAACCTCCTGGAGGATGGGATGGTCCCCTTTAAATGTTTAGACTGGTCCCATAAGTCAAACCAAATCATAAACACTGATAAGAAAGATCTCAGAGCCATTCCCTGCCAGAGTCAGTGAGGGAAAGATTACTCAGGTGGTCACTAATTACAAAAGTACTGGTATGGTGTTCTAGTACAAGCTGAAATGGAACTCATGGACTTATCTCTGGTATGTCTAAGACATGGGCAATAATGTACTTCTGAAGGGGATATCTTGTTTTTAAAGTCAACCAGATCTTTCTTTTTTCTTCGCTTTAATTTTATTTATTTTATTTTACCAACTGGCAGTATGGGACTCTCTGTTCTGAAAATGGCTGGCAGTCAATGAGCAGTCAAGGCCCACCTATTACTCTTCGTCATATTTATTCCGCTCCTTATAGTTCTCCTGTTTCCGCCCGAATTTCGGCGCGTAACTTGTCGCGCACGATTCCGCGGATCGGGCCCAAAACTTTCTCAAAGGACCGGGCGTTTCCGAATAAGTAGAAATAGAAATAATAGAACCGGGTTTCTGGTTTTTTGGCCTCATCAACAAGACCAGTGACCCCCACCTATTCTTCTCCCACCCCCCTCTATCTCACTAATTTACCCAATGCTTCAGCATTTTCTGGTCTGTCGTTGCAGATCAACATTGCACATCTCAATTGTCAATTTGTACATTCGGATCTATATTTTTAAAGATTGTATTTTTCAGTTTTATCATTTCTGTGCTATATTTTTATTTCTACATTTTATTCTTGCTTCTCATAGAAGTGTTGTGTTGTGCACTAAACACCAAGGCAAATTCCTTGTAAGTCTAAAAACCCACTTGGCAATAAACCTGATTCTGATTCTGATCCCCACCCCCCCCCCCTCACCTTGAGGCGGGACCAGCTGTGGCGGGCCCCGCGGGAGCAGGTGCAGGGGATGAGGCTGAGGGCGGGGCCGGGCGCGCCGGGGGCGCCGCTCATGTCGATGATGCTGTCGATGTTGTTGCGGCAGAGCGTGCGCCCGCTGTACGCCGCGTTCAGGTTCCCCACGAACAGGTAGTCCGTCACCCGGGAGATGACCGGCTCCGCGTACTGGAAGTGCTCGGCGACGGGCCCCTCGGGGCCGCGGGCGCCGGCCGGGCCCGTGGCCGCCCGCCGGCTGTAGTTGCGCAACTTTTTGGAGCCGGAGCGGGAAGGCGGGTTCGAGTCCGACTCGGAGCTGCTGTTCCAGGGCGGGGAGAAGAGCGAGAAGCGGCTGGACGAGCGGCTCTTGTTCAGGATCTCCACGGGGCTGGACAGGCCCGAGGTGGAGGAGGAGGTGGAGGTGGAGGCCGAGGCGGAGGCACAGAACAGAGACGCTCTCTCCAGGGAACCCGTGCTGCTGGCCGCCCCGGCGCTGTGGGCCTGCTCCATCTGCAGGAAAGAAGAGATGCTAAAACGTTGTATCTGAATACGATACCTCATTTTCAAAAGTATGGATACCACACCCCCCTTCTCTCTGACACCATTTCTTGGATCAGGAGTCTCAGCTCCTGGCGCTTCTCACATGTCTACGTGGTCTTTGACGGGATACGATCCGTTTCAAAACCTGACAACACCATCTGCTGGCAGTGTGGAGAGTAGGGTTGTCAAAAGTATTGATCCTCAAAAAAGGATTGATACTAAAACGTTGTATCCAGATACGATAATCATTTTCAAAAGTATGGATACCACCCCCATGCGTCCCTTCTCTCTGATTTTATTTATTTACGTTGTTTATGATCATTAACGTGACGTTTGCCTTGAGTTGCTAGCTGCGGCTAACGGCTAATAATAACACGTCAACATTAATCAAGTCTGCAGGAAGCCAGGGATGGATATCCAACCCCGCCCACATCCAAGTCGGCCATTTTGATTAAGTCACCAATCTTGCAAACACTGAATTAAACTCTATCCATAATATTATGTTGAAATAGTGGATGTTAAATAAGTTTGTACAATAAGTCCAAACAAGTTTAACCAAAAAATATTTATTTCTCACATTTATGAAGAGTGGAGGGTTAGGGTCAGGGTTAGGGTTAGGGTCATTAATGGGGACCACCATAACATCAGTAACAGGTCAGTTTGAAACCAAAGACACTCACCTGTCAAAATTCAGTAAAATTTTGGGGTCTTTTTTTTTTTTATCCTAGTGGTATCAAAAATGGTATCATGTATCGAATATTTTCGTGAGTATCGGTATCGAGCTGAAAATTTTAGTATCATGACAACCCTTAGAGACACACACAACCCGGGGCCGGGTCTCATGAGGTTTTCAGACTTATCGGGAGGAGCGTTTGTCAGTTTAATTACCTGTACAGCAGCATTAGCATTAGCCCCCGCATTAGCGCTAACAGCTGCATTAACCTCTCAGAGCCGCCTGTATTCTCACACGTTTGGCTCACCGTGATGGAAACAGCCACCGTGCACTTGACCTTTGTGTGATACAGAACAATGAATGAGGCAGACAAAACCCATTAGCCTGCAGCTCTAGGGGAAGCGTGCCTGCAGTGGATGGAGCAGCTAGAACATCTCTGCTCACTGTCTGTGGTTCCTTAAGTGTATTTACACTAGGCCGGTCCCGATCCGATATCTGGATCGGATCGGCCGATAATACATTCTCTGATAGGCCGGGATCGGGATCGGATCTGAAGTGAAAAAAGCTCGAAAGGGCCAATAAAACCCCCATTTTTTTATTATTTCTTTCTCATTTCTTTCTTTTTCCATCTGTCTTCTATAAGTTATTTGTTTTATTGCTATGTGTGATTATCTGCTGTATTTATTAAGGGGTTATTGTAGGTTTTTGGAACGAATTATAGGATTTACAGTGTATTCTGATGGGAATATTCAAACAACATATTATAACAACATATTATAACCAATATTTTAACATCCAGATCCAGTTTTTTTTTTTAAGTCTGATCCCACACAGCATTGGCATTAGCATTAGCATCTGTAACCCACAGGTCTGTGTCCTAACCATTAAGTTGTTATCAGAGTAAATCCCTGTTCAACATGAGTCGGACAACTAAGTAAGTAGATAAATAACTTTAAACTTTAACACATGCTCTGATAGGCCGAGATCGGGATTGGATCGGAAGTGCAAAAAGATGGATCGGGACATCCCTAATTGACACTAATAAATGTGGTTTAGAGCTGGGAGTTAAATGTCCTTTTACAGTGTTTTTTTTTTTAATGCTCTGCGTACAAGTCCAGTGGTAAAACTAGCCCACGCTTTCCAGCTGTTCCACAGCAGCTGACCACATGCAGGAGGGGCTACGGGGACCAACCCAGCCGGATAGAAAGAAACCAGAAAGAGGAATAGTGACTAGGGATATCCCAATCCAGCTTTTTGCACTTCCGATCCGATCCGGATCCCGGCCTATCAGAGCATGTGTTAAAGTTTAAAGTTATTTATCTACTTACTTAGTTGTCAGAATCATGCTGAACAGGGATTTACTCTGATAACAACTTAATGGTTAGGACACAGACCTGTGGGTTGGGACAGTGTTTCCCAATCCTGGTCCTCAAGGCACCCTGCTCTGCATGTTTTCCAAGTTTCCCTGCTCCTGCACACCTGATTCTAATAAATGGAACGACTTTTCAGCCATGCAGAAAGCTTCTAAAGTCCCATTTATTAGAATCAGGGAAACATGCAGGGCAGTGTGCCTTGAGGACCAGGATTGGGAAACACTGGGTTAGGAGATGCTAATGCTCTTGTGGTATTGGACTTAAGAAAAAACTGGATGGGGAGTCTGGATCTGCATTTTCTCCTGCCGGCCGATACGCATTTTTTTTGCGAATATCGGTGGCTGATCCGATTCAGATATCATATTTGGACCAGCCTAGATAGTGACGCTTTACACTGTTGTGGTGAACCAGCCACGGACTCTGAAATGTACCCACAATGTGCCATGCTCCCAAGTGAAAGAACACAAACTTGATTGGGCTCAGGTTCACCCCCGACTCCCACTGGGTAACAAACACAGCCCAGCGTGTTCTGTTCTGACAGTACCTGAGCTTTGAGGTTGTTCTTCCACTCCTGGGTCTCCAGGGCCTTGAAGCGCCCGCTGCTGTCGGAGGACACCGACACGCAGAGGGGCCGGTGGGCCCTGGGGGGCAGCTGGGGGGTGAGGGCCACTGGGACGGGCCTCCCATTGCTGTGCTCGCTCCTACTCATCATCAGATTCGGACAGGAGGCTAAAACACAAGAAGATGTTTGCTGTCAGCTAGGGCAGGCTGTCACAGCCATGTCATGGATCATGGATCATGGATCGTGGATCATGGATCATGGATCGTGGATTATGGATCGTGGATCAGCTCTTATGGGCTCATCATCACGCTTCTAGTTGATGCATAACCCTGAGATCCAGCATCCAGACCCGGAACCATGAGGCACCACCCACCGGCGCATTCATAACGGGAGATGGAGTCGATCTGGACGGCTCTCTGGCTGCTCAGTAGGTAGAGGAGAGCTCCGTCTGTGCCTGTGGGTGAGAAGTCACCCTTGTAGAAGAAGCACCAGTGAACCATCGTTAAGTCACCACCGGACGTCTTACCGAGCCTCCCATTCCGTTTGCGAAGCACCTTTCGATCCAACAGCTGGTGCGCGGTCAGTTGCTCGGTCCACTCTTCCTCAGCGTCCATGTTCCGCCTCCTGCGGACGGAGGCACGTTACGGAGGCTCCGGGGGCCCGTCATATCACGGCAGGGCCGAGGAAAGTCTTCACTTCCACGGGGGAAAGGCATCGTCCCAGCTTCCGCCGCTAGCGTTAGCAGCTAGCTTTTAGCTAGCTAGCTAGCCGCCGAACGCTTGGCTAGCCGACAGCTAGCTTAGCGCGAGACATGTCAAACGGCTGTAACGGTCGGTTAGCAATGGTGGAGGTTAAAAAAAATCAAATAAAGGCATCGTCCCAGCTTACACCGCTAGCGTTAGCAGCTAGCTAGCTAGCCGCCGAACGCTCGGCTAGCCGACAGCTAGCTTAGCGCGAGACATGTCAAACGGCTGTAACGGTCGGTTAGCAACGGCGGAGGGTAAAAAAAAAAAAAACACACAAAAAAAAACGGTTGCGTGTACAGGGAAGAAGCCCGGGCTTTATTAGAGACGTAACGGGGAGCGTGAGGGATGAACGGAGGAGGGACGTAAGCGCAATATCCGCCGCTGGTTTAGCTAACCGGCGCCAAACAGCGTCACCCCCGTTAGCCGTTATAATCCAGCTCGTGCTCTTGGTAACGGTTCGTCCTTCATGTTCTCTGACGTGACAAATAATGTTGATTTAGCTATTTTGGAGTTGAGTTTTTGTGTATCATGAGGAGAAATTTGACTATTTTAATTGACTTAGCGTCGCACGCGCCAGTGTTTGGTCGCGGTCCCGGTTCCTGATTGGCGGACGGCTCGACTCCATTAGCCAATGAACCGAGCGCTTCACGTTCGCCGACCGATGACGCCTTTGAGGTCGTGGGACATTTTAAACTTCTGGCGAAATCATTTTAATAAAGATAATCAGGTAAACAAAACTAAAAACTGGAAGCTGAAATGATATTTTGAACGTTTCTTCTCGCGTTGAATGTCACAGTGGCGTCTGACGTAATTTCCAAAACGTAACAGGACATAAAAATAATTATGAAGTTACAAAAAGTCAAATCGGCTCATCATTTCAGCTTCTGGAGGAGGAAAGAGCAGTGGTTTGACTCCATGTTCATCAGGGCCATACATTGAAGAGTCCTTGAGCAAGGCACTGAACCCCAACTTGCCTACCCACCTGTTTGTGAGCGTGAGAAGGAATAGACGAGTCATGTAAAGCACTATGAGGTAAAAAGAGCCAGAACAGTGAGTCCATAGGAGTCCATATAAGTCTGTTTGGTGCGTGTTTTACTTGAACCAACAGAATAAAACCCTCACCGGCATTCTTCCAGCGATGTGACATAATTTGTTCCTCTTTTCTACGGACCAAATCTCCTGTGTAATTCATCCAAGTGTAATTCATACATTTCTGTCCCGCACAGGAACATCTGGACCACTGGTCCTGTCAGATTTAATGGCCACCAGTTTCCAAAAAGCTTGTCAGTCCAGTTAATTTACAACTTTTTGGGGTCTCAGAAAAACGTTGACTCTTAGCTCAAACTTTACTTGAATTGCCTCTTTGAATAAAAAGGCCTAGGGCGACTTAAGCACGGTGACAGTAGACATATATGTTCAAGATAAAACACTTACAAAAACACGCACAAATCATCACAACGGTCAACAAATAAGCTTACCTTGAGAGTGTGTGTGCGCGTGTGTTAGGAAGAGAGGTGGATGTTTCTCGGTGTGGCTGCAGGATAATTGAAGAAGCAGGTGCTCGCTCTGAAAAGAAGCCGATCTGGAGCCTGATGTTTTTTCCACCTATCGCTCCTTCTTCTTCTGGTGTTTAATTGGATGAGCGGGCTCCTTCCCAGGTATCCTGGTAACCCGCCGGAGCCATGATGTCACGGCCCTCCATAATGAAGCCTGAGTGTGTGGAGCTGCCTTTGTCAGGAGGAAACCGACAAGCAATTAGTCTGCCAATAAAGATCATGTCGGCCCTGATGGGGTTTAAGATCAGAAAAGCATCTCTCTGATGCTTATCGTCATAGCAATCACACTTTATAACCTTAAATTACTGTTATATCAGCATCTCAGTTGTTTGTGAGTTGACACATTGACAACGGGAGCTACTATCCTCCAGCAAAAAAAAACAAATAATTTATTTAACAGGATTCATACAATGTGAAAGATGTAATTCCACTTTAATTGACATTATTTAATTAGGAAAAAGTTGGGTGGTATGTAAACCCCCTGAATCGAGAAGTCTAGTAATTCATTTATCAGCTTTTATTTTTAGAATATTGCAGACGATACATGGCTTTTCACATTTTGTGCATCAGCCTAATTTCACAAATTAGTCAATATTGCTGCATAATTGTGGCAAATGAAACATTAATATCTTCATATAACATTTATTTGATCACCTTTAAGGGTTTGAATACAATAGACTCGAAAGATTTGATCAAAAAGGTGTTTGAGAAAAAGATTCTATATGAAAAAATACATATATTTCTTTAGCCTCCTGTCCAAATATATATAAACAGTGGGGGAAATAAGTATTTGACCCCTTGCTGATTTTGCAGGTTTGCCCACTTACAAAGAATGCAACGATCTATAACTTTAATCATATGTACATTCTAACAGTGAAAGACAGAATCCCAAAGAAAATTCCAGAAAATCACATCATATGAATTTATAAAAATTGATAACCATCTGATGAGGAAAAATAAGCAAATTATAGGGAGTGGTGGTTATATATAAGGATGGATGGATGGTGGTTATATATAAGGATGGATGGATGGTGGTTATATATAAGGATGGATGGATGGTGGATATATATAAGGATGGATGGATGGTGGTTATATATAAGGATGGATGGA